ATGGTAAAACAGATATATCATACTAAAACAGTTTAAGAATCCACTGCACTTAAATATAAAATCCTTATATCCAGGTTGATGATCAGAGAATCGTTGTAGCATCTGTGAAATCACATAGCAAGCAATATATCCTAATGGGCTTTATAGTTAATAAAGAGTGACACAAAATTCCAATCTCTTATTAATCTGGATTAAGCTGAGGAGAAAAACTTGCTTTAAACCTAGTCTTATAAACAGAAGACCTAATCCTGAGTCTGCTTGCTGAGGGGTGTTAAACTACCAACAGTAGGATAGCCGTGTTTGCTTGGTGACAGAGAACAAAGCTGCCTATTCCTGGGGAGCAGCAACACGGTGCTGGGGAGGGGGTTGCTCTGTGCAGTGAATGTAGAGCATGAGGTACAGGTCATGGGATCGCACACACAATTAATGAGCCAAAATCAACACAGGCGGGGAACATTAGGCTCATTTATTTAATTATTCACTACAGGCAAAGTCAGATGTTCATGAAATTTCAGAATCTGGGCAGCATGATTGTGCACTGGATCAGTCCACATTCAAGTCTGCCTCTAGACCAAACAAGGGAGTTTCTGATCCAAGCAATGGCCACATCTAAGAACTTTGGATAAAGCAGTATTTAGCTTTTGTCTAGGAGTTACAAACTGTCTGCGAGGTATTATGACTTAAATTGACACATACCAAAAGATCACTAAATTTTCAACAGCTGTATTATGTATCAAAAAGCAATTTTACAAGTAACATTCATGAGCAAACCATTTTACAGTTAAAACCAGAAGCATTCAAACACCCAGGAATTCTGCAATAATTTTTTGTTTTTTTTTTTTCTTTAAAGAACATTTAAGTCATTGAAATACAACATTCCATCAACACTGAAACATTTCATACAGATATGTCAGTGGTAAATGGAGTATCTATCATACCACATGTGACCTTCATAGAAATATCAAGGTGTTCTTTTTTATCAGAAGTGTTTTTTGTGAAGTAGATGCTCAGACTTCAGCACCTGTCTGGAAATTGAGAGTGGTCCATAAGCCATCCCCATGTGGCAGTACTATTTTGCACAAAGGGAGAATAGGATATAGTTTATCCTTTGCTTATGAAACACTAACTAACAAGCAATCATCACTGAATTTTAGCATCTATTTTTAAATGAAAAGGTGAAATTAGCTGCTGTCTCTCCATTAAATATGAACTCTGGCTGCTGAACTTAATTGACCTTTGCATGAGTTAAGACAGAACTGATCAGGGATATCAGATAACAGCTTTTCTATGACAATGGAGATAATAAACATTACCTACGAAAAACCATAATTTAAAAGTGGAAAGAGAATTAAAAAAAAAAAACTGAAAAGAAAGACTATTCCATGTTCCCCTGAACACATTCAGGCACTTAGCACACGTCTGGGTATTTCTCAGGCCTGACCTCTCAGCTGGTCTGTGGATTTCAGTGTTTAAGTAGCTGAGCAGCAGCTTGCAGGCTGAGCACTTTCATACTTCAGGCCACCTGTTGAAGTGCCTAAATATAGTTCTGGGAGCTTAACCTCAGGCTTTGACAGCCTTGGCTGTTAGAAACTCTTATTGCAGATGATTGAAAAGTAGCTGAAGGATCCTGAGGGTCTGGAAATGAGCATCAAGGCAGCCCCAGCTCTCTTCATGCAGAGATAAAAACAAAGCTGAATGCATTAACAAAATAACAACATGAGGTTTGGCAGATGGGTGATGCATGAGAAACCACTGTGTTATACTAGCCCTTTTCACTGATGCCCAGAGGAAGTTTGCCAATGAAGAACTAACACAGGCTGAGCTCCACCCACTTCTTTCAGAGGCTGAAACTCATTTTGGTTATCAAAGAATAAAATTGTACCTGTGGCACATAGCTCAAATGTGCAAACCCACAGAGCTTCTTCTGAATGCTGGATACGGCTCTTTGTCTCTCTTTGTAAACACCGGTTTGATTTAATACCCTGCCAAGTGGTTGGAGAACAGATTTTAGTGATTAGAATCCATTGGGTAGTATTTCAGATGGAAAATTCTAGAGATTCAATTATTATGTAAATGGCTGTTTGCATGTGACTGTTTTTGAAACAAATTAATTGCAGCAGCACGAGTAAGTGCTTGTGTAAGCAGCTGTAGCATTATTGAGGAGATTCACAGCAGTGTGGTTATTCCACTTGTGTTGAAAGGACCAGTTTAATCTTAAAAAAACCCTTCTGTCAGTGGGTCTGCAGTGACATTACATTTGTGTACATACCATGTAAACTGCACTGCTACAGTTTATGTGAACACAGCCCTCAGATTAGCAATTTCTGCAAGATCAACAGGTAGCAAGAGGATTAGACTGCCTCATTTTTAGAGAGATGAAATAAAGATTGAGGTTCTTGGCAGGCTTTGTAAGCATAAACAAAAATACTACTGAAGTACAATCATTTCCAGATCAGAAAACTAGCACTGTGTATCTGTCACAGAAGCTACAGGACGTGTGAAGGAACATCTAACTGGATCCTGGGCAGAAATGCAGTATTTTAAAAGAAAATGCAAAGGCTGTTGCTGTAATAAATGCACTACTCGCCCAGCCAACATCCTCAGGGGAACATGGCCAGAGACCTCACATTCTGGAGAATGTTTTGCCTGAATAACCACTGATAGCACAAGCGTTGGGAACTATTGCCAGGAAGAACTTTGAGCTTTGTTTGCAACTATTCAGCTCCAACAGCAGCCACCTGACTGCCCATGGTGTCCCCTCTGTAACAACTGATGCTGCGGTCACCTCATGCCACATAGCAGGGGAAGAGGCTTCTGACCAGGATGACATATGCTGCCCTCAGCATGAAGCTCCAGCCACCACGATGTGCATTGGCACACAGCTCATCTCCGCTGAACATCTCTACTGCTCAGCTTCCCCTCATAGCTTGCAGACTGGTTCTACAAAAGCTTTGGTTATATACCGTGGAGATCATTGTAAGTGGAGACAGTTACTCTGCAGACACACGCTGCATTCACGGACAGATGCAGGGCTTCTGCACAAATAAATTTTTTTCCTGCTGACTTTCAAATGCTAATGTTTTCCAATCTACCTTAAACAGAAAATAAGAGGATCAAGCAGAGTCAGCCTGCAGGTTTTTTGGTTTTTTTTTTTTTTTTTTCCCCAGTTCTTTTTGCCTGCTGGATTTGAATATGCCAAGAGTAGAGGTTTTGGTCTTATTTTACCTCCAGTTAATTGATTACCAATTAACTTGAGTTAACTGAATTCAGCACTAAGTGCTGGTCTAGACATGCCACAAATGTTTGTTCCAGGACATTCTGAAGAAAACCACAAGTATTTGAGTCCTGGAAGAAAAATCTGTGGAATATCCCGACTAGCATTTGCAATTGTGCTATTAGGTCAAGCTAGCATTGCAATTAATTATTGTGGGGTAAAGGGTACGAGAAATGTTAGCACTGACATTACCTAATAAATTTGGTGTTCCAAATTGCCACTGCCAGAAAATTAATCCTCCTATGCCACTCAGAATTAGTCAGTAGATATGTGAGAATTCACTGCTCTCAAGGTACAAGGGTATAATAAATACATACATGGTTTGGATAAAATAAACTTTGCTACACAAATATTAGCAACTTTCTTGTTTGTAATTTCAACATGTTACTTAAAAGACTAACAATGTATTTACATTACATCGTTGCTTAGGTATGTTAATTAACTGAAACTTAACAGTCATAAACCACCAGGAATGTAATGAAGAAAACTAGTATTTGCTTTACTACCTTTTTCCATACTTTAAAATATTGATGTAAGCTCAATTTTTACATTCTTCTGCTTTTCCCATTTTTTAAGCCCCCCTCCTTTTTCTTAAGTCTTTGTTCTTCATGTGTGGGAGCGGGCAGCTCTACATTTCAACCTTTTCCAATTAAAGTAATAATGAAAAACAACACTGCAGTATTTTCTTTGACTGACATCTTCCAGAAATATGTGTTACAATCAAATGATAAGCCAATTCCCCTATGCCCCCGTGCACAGCACATTTCTGTTCTGATCTGCAGCCTTGTATAGCTTTCCTGCCAGCTAAGTGGGATACCTCACAGTTTTTGCAGATTGCACCTAACTTTTTATCATCTGGCACTCAATAGGCAAAGCTCTCAGTTCAGTTCAGCACCAGTCCATGAAACACTATGCCTTGTGTTATGCGAGAAAGCAGTGGCAGATTTCTGGCATTGGGTAATGCTACAGACCTGTGAATTATGGATTCACGTGAAGAACTGGCATTACGTGGCTATCTGGGGAAGGGACATTTCAGAGTCCCATTTAAGCACAGTGCACAGAGAACCACCGCAACAGCCACAGCTAAGAATTGCTATACTTCCCCTCTAGAACCCCATGCATTATCTATAGGGTGGAAGCCATTTGCAAAGCTTCATAATCAGAGCACGTAAAGCAACAAGTTTGAGAAGGGAGGTTGCTAGAGAGCTCAATTCACATCCAAATTGATCTACAATAGGCTAATTCAAACACTGAAAACTCATCTGTACTACCAGCTTTCTTAACTTACCTCTGTCTTGCTCCTATGTGAATGAACTATCCCTGGACTCATAACCCCCCCACCCAAAAATGGAGTAACAGAACGAACAACAAGAACATGGTCAAAGCAAGAGTGAGGTTACTTCACAGTGAAGAGCAAACTGGGAGCTGAGACAGCCATAAAACAAATGTCTCACTAACAAAGCACAGCCCCACAGCAGGTTAGGAAGGAGGACAGAATAGACAGACTTTACTAGTACCTCACTGAATACCAGAATGGGAAAATAACTCAGGGAAATCAAACAGCTAATCAAGAAAAGCAGGAGGCATTACTAGGGGAAAACGTACCTGTGGCTTAGGAAATTAGAAAGAGCTTTCAGCCTGAGCTTAAATATTGTCCTGGGGATATGGCCAGGGCTAGAAGTGCCCAGGTGAGCATGGTCAGGGCCATCAAGTTCTATCAGGGTTCTTGGGAACTTCAGTATGCATCCCCACCTTGCAAAGTCATGTGGTTGAGGAATGGTTTGTTGTAAGATAGTTTGGATAAAGAACGTGTGATATCTCCTTAAGTACAAGGATAATTTTTGGTCTGTAGTTATAACAGCTGTTGAGATAATAGAGTTTCTTGTGTGCTAATTTGGAGTAAAGAAAATGCTTCTCCTAGTGTAGTAGCCTGTCTGCAAGGTCATAGAATCACAGATTGGCTTGGGTTGGATGAAGATGAAGGTACTGGGATGGGGCATATAAGCTGGGCTGATGTTAGAGAGAATCTAGGTGGTGGTTTCAGCTTAGAAAAACTGGGTGATTTTACAGGGATTGTTCAAGGCTATTGGTGGTTTGACTTTTTCAACAGTGGGAAAATGATTTGAATGAAAATAATCAGCTTTGATAGATGGTTGAATAGTTCAGCAGTGTTTTCTGTAAAGCCAAACCTGTTCGCCTTTGGTGAAAACTGATTAGGAGTATGTTGCTTACCTTTCAAAGACATTTCCGGTTTTATTTGACTGGGTTATGAGAAAAGCACCCTGGAAAAGCTGGGCAAGCAAGCCATAGATTTGTGAAAGAGCTGGGTGGGTTCAAGGGCGGAAACAAGTTCTCAAAAGCTTGTGTTATCAGTATATGGATATTACTGCTGCAGGCAGAAGTGCCTTGGACATGGGGGTGTTAAATAACTCAGCCATCTTGGAAAAAGCTAGTATTATTTTAGAGGTCAGGTTCCAGAATTTCACTCACTTGTTCTTTTTTCTGTTTTGAGAGTGATGTGGTAGAGATAGGTGGGCTTATGCTTCAGGGAGACCTATGAGCTCCTTCCAAAACCTGGCTTTGACCTTGTCCCCTCCAGTCCTTCATGATGGGGCAGTTAATGTCTGTTAGGGTGTCTGGAGTCCTAACAAGGTTTGGGGCTCCCTTTAAAGTAAAGTGATGTTTATGAAGGAAAGATAAAAGATACTACTGATTTATTTTTTTCATTCTGGAAACTGACTGAAAATTATTATTTGAAAGTATTTTTCAGAGCTGTCACACTTAAATTATGTTTGTAACTTGGGGTATTCCTCTCCTCTTGATTTATGAGTACTGGTCTAACTAATGCTCTCTTTGTGGTTCACGTATATTTAGAGTTCTTTCCAACCTTAATGGTTCTATGATCTATGATTCTAAAAAAAAAAATAAAATTAAAAAAAAAAAAAAGGAATAAAAGTGAATGCTCTCACAGGGTACAAAAGCATAGATATGCTTATAGATATGCTTGGCTGATAGCATTTTTTTAAAGCATTAATTTTATTGTCTAATTTGCTGCTCTGTTCCTTGAACTTAGTTTGAGCCTAAGGTTAGCAAAAGACAAGCATTTCATTTAAAACAGAGAGTGATTCTTATACAGTCATGCAATTTATGGTGTACAGACCAGATTACCTTTTAGATAGCCTTTTCAATGTATCAGAGAAGTTGCTGCAAAAAACCTTCACATCCTTTCTCTTGAACATCTTTGCTGCTAAGTAATGATGTTAGCTGCTTTTCATTAAAGTGTAACTCTTTTAGAAAGCAAAAAAGATCTTTGTACCTCTGGAGATGTTATAATCTCCTTCATTCATGTGCAGTTTGTGAGTTTATCTGATCACTGTGCTTCTTGGAAGAGTTGCATCCACATAAATGCATTTACTGCTTGTGTGTTTGTGTTTTTGTTTTTTTTTTTTTTCTTCAAAGTGATTTCTTTAGCCTGTGCTATACTCTGGATAACAGGCTGACAGAATGCAAACTCTTATTCTTTTCTCTGGATCTTCGTTTCCTCAGATCTCGCTCATTTCACATATGTGAGGCTCTAGCTTACAATTCTATGAGCCCACATCATTATGCATCAACTATATGAAAAACGTGTAGAAAAACACCAAAAGAATCAAAGCTATAACAAATTCTATGATTCTATGAAAAATCATCCTTTCAGGTCACATTGTTTTTGATAAGCTTTTCAAGCTTATTCACAACAGTGCCTAGAGATTAGAAGGGATTAGAACTCACATTCATTAATGTAAGTTGTTATCCACATATGTATGTATGCTGAAAATAGCTGACGAGGACACAAAATGGACTACAAAATATTTGGAAAGCAAGTACTCTTCCTGGAGCATGGGAAAGGAGCATGCAAAGAGAGTACTGGGAAGCTATAATGCCCTCTCTCTTCCATCTTAAGTAACTACTGTTGTACTGTAGTGTGATTTTCTGGCTGCACGCAAGTGCGTGCAAGGCGCGGCAAGCAGCCTCCTTATTTAAACTACTGTTACATCTACTCTCCCTGCAAGTACGTGGAGGTAATTATTGTTTGTTTTTTATTAGGATGTTTCTATGAAGGTCTACATTCTCAAAATTTAAAATCCAGGGAAGCTAAAGTTCTTTTTAATTTTTCAAAACACATGTGGAACTCCACAGTTACTTAAAACTAATTGAATGTCTAGTGTAGCACTGCTTGTCATAAAACCATACTAAATTATTTTTTAGATAAGCATTGTCATTTGCTATTGCAGGTTTTAATGATTTAAATAATTAATTGAGGTCCTGCTCTGGGAACGAAGGGGATCAGCTGAACGTTATCGTGCTGAAGGAGAATGATTTCTTTGCTGGGTCTACAGTGCCATCTACAGCACCAAGACTGCAGCTGAAAATAAAGTAAGAACTATGAAGTAACTATTTTTATTTATTTATTTATTTACTTTAAAGCCGTTAAAAATCAAGATGGCTCTTATGTTCCTTTCAAAATGTCACTGAGAAATGAATAAGTAATATGTGTATTTGATAAAGCTGGTATGTAATTTAATAAAATAACAGCTCGTATTTTCTGAAGTTTTAGGTGGGTTATCTGGATATATTTGTTATCATGGATGGCAAATATGTGTTGCTGCACGTTTATATTTTGCTCCAAGATCTCCTTAAGACTTAGGGACACTTACGCTTTATTAGTTAAAAGAGTTGATTTGCAAGCATATCTTCATCATTAATCTCTGAAGTAGATGAAGAATCCTGCATTCCTATGCAGTTAGATGGGATCTGAAATTTTTCAACAGATCCCATCATTGCTCATTTCTTCATATTTCCATGGACTTCAAATCTGGAGAAACTGAAGCCTATTACAAACAAAGATTTTAAAGCTCAATTTACAATGGTTGCCTACTAATCTTAGAAATCCCTCAAAAGTATATTTTACACTTCAACAGAGTATTGCAGGCAGTTATTAAAATATGCAGATATAAGTTGATCCTTCAGGAACTTGAAAGAACAAGAAACTTGTAATAGAAAGGACAAAACTGGTGATAGTTTGGGTATCTTTTTCAGGGTGATGCCTTGTAGCCATCATATCTCTGGCTTGGGCTGCAAACACAGAATGTACCTTAGAAAAATGAGAGAGAGCATTAATTGGAGCACAAATGCCCCTTGATCACTAGCCTGTTCATGATGATGAGAAATCCCCCAGGTTCAAGTTCACAAGAGATAAAAACTCACTTGTGCCTTCACTGAACAAACTTTGTTCCAGTCTGCTGTGTGGGGCCCTCCATCAGCAGGCCATGGTTTTAAACCCACTTAGACTGCTTGTTGCCTGTATAAAATGAATTTATTGAATCTCTGCTCTCCCTGGTAGGTAACCAGGGACATTGCTTCATTGCTGATTTTCCAACATTTGCCCTTTTTAACAGCAGGCTGAAGTGCTGATAGCCTGTGCTGTCTTTCTCGAAGGATTTATACAAGGTGATGCAAAGCCCTACAAATTCCTTGTCTCCCTGCTGCTGCTGACTGGGAGTTGTGCTCAAATGGCAGGTGAGGGAAGCTTCATGCTGTTAGTGAGGCTAGCAATGAACATCAACAGTAGTGAGCTCTCCAGACTCAGTTAGATGTTATTATGTCATCTTGGAAACTACTGTAAGCAAATTTGTTTTATTTACTACCAACCTGAGTTGAAGATGATGATGTTTAAAGGCTTGAGATATATTATCAAAATTGAAGATGAAGAAAGAGTGGCTTGTATTTTAAGACTGGATTAAATTATTTTTTTTAAGCATAACTTCTCCTTTCCTGTACTCATAAGAGAAAAATAATAATAATCTGAAAACTGAGTATGATACAGATGTTCTCAGAAGTGCTCCATTTCATTCTAAAATAGAGACAAATGACAGCTTCTACATTCAAGGATGTCTGTTTATGATCCATGTAAAATATCTGTTGTAATCCATTAGTTTAAGTGACATTTTCTGGTTTACTCTTTGCAGGATTTTCAAAGGAAAGAACACTTAACAATCAAAAAGCCTCTCAATCCCTATTGGCTTTTGGGCCAAAAGTCTGGCTCAGAACTGTCACTGACACATTAAAACATCATCTCAAGAGCTGTGTGTTTTGAATAAGCTGAGAGGATGCAGGGGCCATAGTATTCTTTTGGTTAGAAATTAACCATTTCAAGTTGAGGGAAGGGAAAGTTTAAACTACAACAGAAAATGAAAACTGAAATATAGCTGTCTTCTAGCACATGGACTGTTTCTGAAATGTCCTCTCTTTCTTTATTAGGCACAAGCAATTTATTCAAAAATAAGCCAGTCATGGTTATCAAGAATATAAATCCATGTTGTAAATTAATCTGTTGAAGAGCAGAATCAAGATTCTTAGATTCCAGAAGGATCTGGAAGGATAAAGCCATCTTCCTCAATGAAAATAAAATCATTGGAAGAATTATCTGTTGCTTCTTCTGAAAAAAGCTTTGAAATCACAGGACTGGATTTTGAGCTAATGCAGAGTAGTGTGACAAATTGAATTTTCAACTCCTTGTTGATAATTCTCAATCCTAAATATTACAAATTATACAGTAAAAGTGGATTTGCAGTGGGAGAATGTAATATTTACTATTTTCCCTTTCCTGCACTTTCAGTTTTACCCTAATGTATGTATGTGTGTGTGTATACACACATACATAAATATGCATACATAAGTACACATCTGCATTATATTTGGTAATATTTAAGGACCCTGAAGCAGAAGGCTGAAAGTTAAAGTTTTCAAATCTAAGTAGCTCACAGTGGTGCTGCAGCTGAGTCACACTGCTGATGGAAAAGGGGGGTGGGAGGTGGAGGGTGAGAACTGAGAAAGAGCTGGCAGTCTATCACTGAAAATAACAATAGGAAAGTACTTACTGAGTGGACTGGGACTTTTGAAGGCTTTTGGGACACGTGTCCAGAGGCTGAGCAGCCTGAGGTTTGTCTGTAGGAGGAGCAGCTGTTGCTGATAGCTCAGGTGGCTCCTGCCCAAAATGGGTCTGGTTGCTACAGCGTCCCAATCTGAACTGGGCTTCATGAAAATCTTCCTTAAGATTTTGAGGGATGTGTTATGAAGGGTCTTACATGACAATGTGTCCTGAAGCACAAGAAATCCTTCAGTCCTATGGGACCATACTAAAAGTCTAAACTCAAGAGGATTAAATTTAAGTCCTATCTGATAAGAGTTTGGTTTTTGTTTGTTTGTTTTTTGTTGTGTGTGTGTACTTGAATTTAATTTTAGTTTATTCCACAGGAAAGCGGTAAATTTAGGGTATGCTAGCAAACCAGCAGACCATTCTGTTTCTATTTTCAGAAGACACAATCTAAGGACTGTCTATGTAGCCTTGGGTAGTTTAAGCCACTTATTCCCAAGCTATTGAGCGTAAGACCTAAATAGCCATGCAGCTTTCCCAAACAGCCATTCAGCTGTAGTGTCACAGTCTCTTCCCTTTTGTATTACCAGAGGCACGAAATGCTCCCAAGTACAAATGAGTCTGAGGCAGGTACTGGTGCTGCAGTAAAGAACATCAGGAGCATCCCTCCGAGAGCAGCTAATTTGGATCTAGGATCTCAAATACAAAAACTTCATATTAGAATTTCAACAAGATGACACTTATAAATATGAAAATAGCATTACTTTCCCAATATTTTTGTAGGAAGTGGTGCTGACAGTATGATTCATCAGATGTAATTTATTTTAGCTCAGTTTTGCATAGGAGTACTTGACTTCTGAGATAAAGTCAACAGTGGGCAGCAAATATCAGTTCTCTGAGTTGCTTGTTGCCCAGGATATGTGCATGTACTATTGCTATCTTTCCTGTCAACCTGGTAGGATGGAAATAATATTATGAAATGAGGTCCTGGAGGTCAGTACTTCATAAAAACTAGTCCCTGCCTAGTAAATGACATGAGAATGTGCTTGATATTAATTACCTTTACTCAGATATCCTAAGTACATTTACTTACACAGCTTTCTGGGCGTCACACTAAACAGAATGAGAGAAGCTGACAAATGCTGCAGCAGGGAATTTTAATCTTGTGTGTAGGAAGAGTTAGAAAAATAAATGGAAGAAGTCATTAAGAAAAGTAGATTGTGAGATGTGGGAGGTAGGATGCGGGAGGAGATTGTAACAAACCTTCAACAGCCAAGATAAGAAAAAAAAAAAAGGGGAAGTTAAATCACTGCAGAAAAGTTAAAAGGAGAATATAATGAAATAGGTCTCTTTGGTATTCTTACTGTTGCTAGCTACAAGGAAGTGATTACAGTTGAAATTGTGGTTGTTCCAAAGGATGTTCAATCACTGGCAATAGCCCCAGTGCAGAGGATAAGATGGACTAGGGTCCAGTCAGCTTTCTGATGTATTCATGACCCCGTACTCCTCTACCCCACAGACTGCATAGGTTCATTTGCCAGGACTGTGCATTTGTTTTCTCTGTGATGTCAAAGAGCAAGAATTTGGGAACTGTCAAGACAAGGAATAAACAAAAGTGTTTATAATAAGGAAAAATACTGTCCCCAAGGGACATTCAACTTTTATGACAGAACTCAGGTTATCTTCAAAACTGTAATATATTTTGCCATTTACCAAATCATGCAGGGGCAACATAGACATGGGGCTGGAGGATTTTTCTCTCTCCTTTACTCCTGCCCCATGACCCCTGCTTATTTTAACTATATATACAGCACAGAGCTACTTTGTGTACTTGTCTGGTGACTTCTGTAGAATACAGAAGCCACAAAAAGGGTTATAAAACCTGAAGAAATTATTCCCCAGCTCCTGCATCAGTATGTCAATGCATCCAATTGTGCAGAAAACAACTTCCTGTTGTGTTTTTGCTACTGGGTTTTTGTCAAAATGCTTCCATTTTTATTGTCCCCCCCCTTGTCTGCCTGATTTGTTTGCTCATTTGTTATTTTGTTAACTAGAAGGATTTAACAGCGTTCAGTGAGTATACAGGACAGAGTTGAAGTAATTATTTTTCAAATGGATTTTCATGCTTGAATGATCTCATCTTGCCAATAAGTTCCTTTAGCACTGAACTTTATTACTTAAAACACATCAGAAGAAGAGCTTGCACAATGCAGTCACTCCCTTCAAAACTGTTACTGCAATAACTGCTTCCAGCACACTCTCTGTGGAGTGAAATTGTTAGCACACCTCTGAAAGAAATACAACATACTCACCAAACCTGTTGTTCTTTCTAATGGGAAGGGGAAGACAATGCTTAACACCTCAAAAGTATCAGGCGCATGCATGTGCCTGGGCATACAGGGCCTGAGAGACCTTCCCCACCTTCTGAGGCAAAGATGGGGCCAGGTCCAGTCAAGGACTTGTCCTCACCTTGGTGGTAAACAACCAGGAATTGTTGTAGTTTTTTTTAAGAACTTTAAAAATATTAATTATTCTCCCATCTATTACAGTTCTAGCACCTAGGTCATCCCCATCCAGATGCATTTGGAGAGCTGAGCACAGCAATGTGTAGAAGGATTTCATGGACCCACAGTGTGATGCCAAGGAGGCGTACAGCCTTGCTCATCACTGCACCTTCCCCCAGTGGTACTTGAAAGTTATGATGGACCACAGAGCTCCTTAGAAGTAAATATGTACCGTCTTTGCACTCTTTACTTTCTACAAAATTTTTGTAATTTAAAAAAATGAAATCAACAATGAAGATTTCCTCTTTTATTTTAAAATGCATGTATTGTCTCAGTTTTTGCTTTTTTTTCTGTCTGTTCATTTTTGTATTCGATATTTCTACACATAAAAGGTTGCAGATTTAAAACACAGTTTTAAACAATTCAGCAGGGTTTCTAATGCCAAAGAAAGGATACTTTGCCTTTGCAAAGGGAAATTCTAGCTTAGTAACAGGATATGCTACTTGGTGGTTCTAGTTGTGGCAGTAACAATTAAACTGACTTCTAATATGAAAATGTTTACATTTTTATCTAAACTAGTTTTATGTGTTTTTACTTTTGTAAGTAGTGTTCCTTCTACAGTAACCCAGAAAACAATGGTAACTGAAGGAAGCCAGAAACAGTTCTAGTTTAGCACCTGTTTTCCATATATTCAGTATATGGATTCAGCTTATACATCAATATTAATGTATTCACTCTAAATTTATACATGAGTGGTGCTAAATGAAAGTCAATGTGCAAATGTTTGCGTAGCAGAAATATGCCTCTAGCAATTGTGACTCATTTTCTTCTTCTAGCCATATTAGTAGCCCTTAGTTATACATTTTTTCCCCCATTATCTCTTACAGTAGAATGTTCAGAGGTTCTACTTTTCGTGTTTTCATCATAATCAAGGTATGTGAGCGTGTGTACCACTACTTGATTTCAATGTCATAAGTAGTCTTCACCTGATTTTGTTTTTTCCTGAAATGGAGACAGACAAAAAGTACCAATTGCAAAGATGTTCATACCTTTAGAGCATGATCTGCTGCGCTTGAAAGCATAGTGGCAAGTGGTGTTGGACTCCTTCAGTAGTTCAGCATTGGCAAAGAAATAGATATTTTGAGAATCATCAGGCAACCTGAAGTTTGTTCCTTTAGGTGAAAATCTGAAACCTCATCACCTGCTAGGTGTCTTTTAAAGTTTCTTCATGTTCCCCTCTGAAGAAAGGTAATGGGGAGCTGGCTTCCTCAGACGTAGAAAAAGCTAGGTACTCAATGAGTGCTTTGCCTCAGTCTTCATGGGTGGTTAGGCTTCCTGTGTTTTCAGAACCATGAGCCTCTAGACAAGGGTGTGGGGAGTGGTTTCTGTCCCACTGTAATAGTGGAAAAAGACCGAGTCCTCCTCATGAAATTGAACATGTATAAGTCTATGGAGCCAGACTGTATCCATCCTAGGGTTCTGAAAGAGATGGCTGATGTGGTTGCCGAGCCACTCGCCATCATACTTGAAAAATCATGGCTGTCTGGTGAAGTTCCTGGTGACTGGAAAAAGGGAAACATTACTCCTATTTTTAAGAAAGAGAGAAAGGAAGACTTGGGGAACTACAGGCAGGTTAGCCTCATCTCTGTGCCTGGGAAGATCACGGAGCAGATCCTCATAGAAGCTATGTTAAGGCATATACTATATAAAGGGGTGATTTGAGACAGCCAGCATTAGATAGCCACCTGACCGATCTGGGGCCTTCTAAGATGGAATGATGGCATTGGTGGATGGGGGAAGGGCTACGGATCTACCTGGACTTCTGCAAAACCTTTGACATGGTCCCTTGCCACATTCTTCTTCCTAAATTGGAGAGGTGTGGATTTGAAGGATGGACTGTTCAGTGGATTAGAAATTGGCTGGCTGGACACAGCCAAAGGGTTGTGATCAATGGTTCTGTGTCAGGGTGGAGGCCCCCAGAATAAGAAAGACACAGAGGTCTTGGAACAAGACCGGAGGAGGACCTCTAAGATGATCAGAGGGCTGGAGCACCTCTCTTGTGAGGAAAGCTTGAGGGAACTGGGCTTATTTAGCTTGGAGAAGAGGAGGCTCCAGGGAGATCTCATTGTGGCCTTCCAGTACTTGAAGGAGGGGGAATGGCTGTTTGCAAGGGTGGATAGTGATAGGATAAGGAGGAATGGTTTTGAATTGAGACAGGGAAGGTTTAGGTTGGATATTAAGAGAAAGAAAGTTTTTCACACAGAGGGTGGTGACGCACTGGAACAGGTTGCCCAAGGAGGCTGTGGATGCCCCATCCCTGGAGGCATTCAAGGCCAGACTGGATGTGGCTCTGGGCAGTCCGGTCTGGTGGTTGGCAGCCCTGGACATAGCAAGGGGGTTAAACTAGATGATAACTGTGGTCCTTTTCAACTCAGGTCATTCTATGATTCTATGATTCTTTTTTTTTTTAATTTAATTTTTTTTTTTTTTCTTCAGAAGGCTCCATTAGAGGCACAGGTCTGGCTCAGGAGCTAAGTGTTGGCAATGCAACACTTGTCTTCCCTAATTCAGTCAGTTCATGGAAGTAGAAATGATGCATTATTTTATTGAGGCTATATATGAACCTATACAGTGCCATTGGGCATTTTCTAAAAACATCCTAGTATTTATATCTAAGCATAAAATGTGCATGAATATATACAAGGAAATGAGTTGTAAAAGGAAGTTGTTTACTGTACAAACTAGAAATTGGGGTAAACGTAAGAAAAAAAAGTTGCAAAATGTAGACTGGGAACGACCAGTAATAAAATTCTGAAGCTGGGGAATGTATCCTCAGCAGAATACTAGAACTGGGGTTAATTCAAACAATTTAGGATTGAAGATTTTGTTTTAGAAAACTCACTTGAAGAGCTGTAAAATGAGGCTTTATAAAAAGATGAACAAACCATAGCAATGACAATAGATGGCAGTGTAACCTCAGAAAAATCTATTTCTTTTTTTTTCTTTTTTTTTTTTTTTTTTTTTTTTTTTTAGCTTGTGTCTGGGATTTTCTTTCTTTCTTAAGGGGATGGAAGTTCACTTTGTGGAGAGCATAAGGAGTCAGAAGTCAAGGCAATTACTAACTTTCATCTGAGGCTAATTTTTTTTCTAGCTCTTTCTTTTTACCATCATCTTGAGGATTTGTGTGAAAATTTCATACTTGGAATTGACCTTGAATCATACAGTTACAAATACAGACCAGAAAATGTTGGTTTTGTTGTAATACATGGTCTATATCCTGGGATTTGAGAGCCTAACGGACCCAATCAGCTTGAAAGTAATTCAATTAAGGAATGAGTTAAAGTGGTTTAGGACACTCTGCCTGCCTGTCAGATCTTCTGATGATTCCTTAAGGTTTTATATTTCCTTGGTTTTTGAACAATGTTTTCTTCCCTGTTGCAGTGGGAGACTTTACAAACACCAGTAGGAAATTTGATGAGGAAGATTAACAAAATTATTTATTAAGTTAATAAATTTGAGAAACAACCTTACTTCCTGGCTCTTAGGGGTAAAGCTTTTCCTGAAGCAGGGCAAGTTTTAAGGCTGAAGAAAAACAATATTCAGTGGCTCTGGATAGGATTCAAAGCATCTTAGTTCCTTAAGCTATCACAGATATTTTCTAATGTGACCCTTGGCAGCTTGCCTAGTCTATTCCTCTGCTTCTGAAGTCTGTACAATGCAGATAGCAGTTTAATTTGACAGTCTTCAGGGTAAAACTTGTCTCTCACTCTGCTGTTCCTTGCTAGAGGAGTTCTGGAATTGAATGGGGAATGCTTTTTAATTGTGTAATAAAAATAAAATTAACAATATTTGTTTACAAGTTTCAAGGTTTGAGCAGAGCATCAGAAGCAAAGTAAAAGTACCACATGGATTAACTCTCTTAATATGAAGCGCTTCAGTGGGCCATGATCATAGATGAGCTGATCCTTAACTAGCAATCACATCACTGCTCTAGAGCAAGATATTTCTAGATTATATTTTCTCCTCTGTTAGAGAGCACTTGAAGCTTCCAGCTAACAGAAAAATGTACTAATTACCAGGAAATAGGATATTTATGGAAAACAAGGCTTGGAAGCTACTAATACTCATTTTGCACACAAAAGTGAAGATTGCATTCTTTTTTTTCATGTTGAGGGCACTCATCTGAGTAATAAGAACTGCAGCACAAGTCTTCCCTGCTCACGCTGATGTAAAAAGTGTTTAACATGGTTAAGGAGCAAATGTACCTAGATAGGGTTGAAAATCCCCTTTGGTATTTCTTCTAAGGCAAATAAGTTGTCTTCCCCTTCTAGTTCAATATGCAAGGCTATATTATTCAAACCTTCCTCCCCACACTTGAATAATGCATGGTAGTATTTCTTGGTGGTGGCTATATATTTTTTTTTTCTCCATAACACCACTAGAAAAAATGGCATTTTTTCAAGGTACATCCTGGATTGGGGTGAAGTTATGATCTCCAGCATTGCCTCTCAGGTACATGAGAGTGTTTGCTTTCAATATGATGTTTCATTCCTTCATGAGCTCTTGGTGTCTGACCATCAGATGATACGAAAACCCCAGAACTGAATATGTTATGGTGACTGATGCTTGGCTGCTAGTAAACCTCAAATGTTTTCACCCAGAATCCTCCAGTGAATTTGAGTGAAAGCACTCATGCTTCACTGACTGACTGGAAAGTGAAAAATGCCACTTCTCTCCTGTTCTGAGGAACTGGTGCTCTGCATGACTAAAAATTGTACTATTCAGATGTTCTCCTTGCAACATCCTGAAGCAGCTCAGCTCTCAGATTAAATCTCACTGTTAACATGATGGTTTTGGAACATTACCCTGTGTAAGTTTACTATACATCTAGAAGAATTTGGGGAAATAACTCACCCTTTCTCTGTCTGCAAGTATGTGTGTCTGCTACTTTTGGACATGCTTGAGGTGGGGAGTTGCCATATCATGGTTGAGTAAGCTGATACTCCTGTGTTGCCCATAGGTTCCACTGTCTGGATCCTGCATTGTCAGTTGTGCTCTGCTCTGTAGAGAAAAAAGAAATGTATGAATGTAAATGCTTTCATAATTGTCATGCAAATAGCTCATTTGTACATAAATGAGGCATGTAAAGGAGAGAACTTCTGTGTGCCAGGTCCCTGGTGGATAATCAAGGACAACAAATCCATAATATTCATGGAGACTGGGGTTGTCCAGCAACTTTGTACAACAGAGAAATGTTGGATGCTGTAAGAATAAATTTTTAGCTTACAAATTTTGTAATAT